ATATTTATCCTGTAGGGATCGCTTCGATAAAGCCTTAATTAATAAGCATTATAAGTAGAGATAGATAGTGGTTAGCAGTGAAATTCAGGATGCATGTTTCGTTCTATTTGGGATTCGTCAGTTGGATGTACCTGGATCACAGGGTCGGCGTTCACTCCGAGACTCGGTTCCGGTACCGTTCGCCTTAAACTCCATCGCGTTATTCACTCAGGACTTAGTAGCTAGGTACTGGGTTCCAGTCTTGGAATGAACATCAACTCGGGTGCGGATACATCCATTTGACGAGTCCTAAATAGGGCGAAACGTGCATCTTGGATTTCACTATTAGCCATGAACCGTCTTTTGCTCATTGAAGATAAATTTTTCATTATCAACTGGTAACACGTTTAAAATTACTGAAGAATCAAAACTAACGGGAATTTACTATGTGTCAAACATGTCATCTTATGAACTTATGATCCTATAGTGAATAAAATACCATAAAACTACTGAGGCGAAATCCATCAGTTCTTATTTTTCAATCTCAGTCACTTTATGACTAAGTGAGATCATTGTTCATTATAAGTTGATTATTTGGGTCACTCCTGACTAAGTTACTTTTATAGATCATAACTTGTCAGTTCATTGTCAAGAAATCAATTTCAAAGCCAGTCACTATTAAACAGACAATAATGATTTAGTTAGGTGGTCTTGTAAAGTTTCTAACCATTTGAGAACAGTTTTAATGTATGAGTAATGCTAAGTGCACAACTATTGTAAACCAATACATACTGTTTCTTTCTGACTTGTCACTACTCAGCAGTACACACTTAGATTTAGGATTCTAGAACTTTAGTAAACAGTATTCGGTAATCAATAAAAAAACATTTATGTGGACGAGTAAATTGTTCTATACTATACAGTCTATAGAATTAAATTGCATTGATCTCATAAACTCATGTAAACAGACGGTAATACAAATGTTTGATTATGGAGTTGTTATCTTTAACCTAATCATTGTCCTTTTTACTTCGTTACAAACTAAATTTAACTGATAAAATTAGATTTAGGAAAGCAAAGGTGTTCTACATGGCTATATAGACTAGTATTACAGGTTTCACAGTCAACAATCTACGAAACATATGAGCGATAAGAAGTTGAATTTCCTATAATTGATCTTAGTCTATACCCAATGATCTAAACGGTATTACTTGTTTGAATATTCCCATTGATGTTTAGGACTGAAACTGGTCAGTCTCCCTATCGCACAAACAAGTGGTTATCAGGACTCAGTAGCTAAGTGTACAACGCGATGGCGTTTGAAGCGAAAGGTATTGGGTTCGAGTCCCAGAGTGAACATTAACTCTGAGATGCAATTACATCCAGTTGACGAGTCCCAAATAAGACGAAACGCACGTCCGGGATTCTACTGCTAGCCACTATCCATCTTAACTTTTAATATATCAAAAATAATTAAGATCACTTGATACAAGTAAAAGTTATGAAACAACATTTCGATGGAGTTTCGTTCTCTGAGTTGGATGGTTTGTTCATGGAGCTTTCATCGTCCTTCTAAATGACATCATCAGCACAAACTTCGTTCAGAAGGATGATGAAAGCTTCATGACCAAACCATCCAAGTCAGAGAATAAAACTTCATCAAAATCATTCACCTGAGCTACAAATCTTCTTCACTATCTCAGAAACAACATTTTGTCAGAAAAAAGAAATTATTTTAATAAACATTAACTCTCTTTAGACTACCTTTTAGTTAATTACGTAATGTAGCCGATCAATACTTAATTAGTTTAAACATTCAGACAATTCTTTGTTTCATAGTTGAAAGCGTGAGTCAATTGAAGCTAGACCGCGAAGGAAAACCTGGAAGCACTGGATGGCCGTTTCATCCTATTGTGGGACTCCTCCACAAAACCCCTTCTCAATTCTTTGTTCCCCTGTTGATTAATTTTAGAATTTTTTTATTAAGTATAAAATGTTTTACTAATGAATAGTAATCTATCAATTTCTATGTGAGTCAAATCATTGAGCTGGCATCCAACGGTGTTAATGTCTAACTTCAATTAATCTATGAAATTGCACTACCGTCCACAATTGTCTTCAGTGAATTACAATCTCACAACAGACCCGGTTGATATCAACTGAGTGATCGAGATGTTATGTGCTTGCGCGCGAGACCAATAGATCCTGAGTTCGAGTACCTTTAGTAAGATTGTGGATGCGCACTGATGAGGAGTCCAATACTAGGACGAAACGATCATCCAGTGCTTTCAGATTTTCGAGTATGGTCTAGCTTTAATTGATTGATGAACTCAACTAGTAAATTTTTAAAATTGTCAGGTTTTACAAAACTAATATCACTTGAGATGTTGGAGAACACTTCACTTCTACCCTAAGTTTGTGCTGACGATGTCGTTCAGAAGGACGATGAAAGCTCCAAGACCAAATCATCCAGCTCAGAGAACAAAGCTCCATCGAAATCATCCACCTGAGCTACAAATCTTCTCCACCATCTCAAGGAGAGTCGTAAATGTCTAAAATTGGTTTCAATGGGATATCCGGTTTATGGATATTCGGTAGTTCGTATAACCTAGGTAAGTGAAATTAATTGGTGACAAATATTATCTGTAAATTTATCACAACCTAAACTGATCATATAGATTTCGTAACTAAATGAATGATATAAAAAATTGCCAATATGTTGACAACATTATTTAAATTCAGAGTTCGTTTGTTTTAGGAAGAAGAATCCAGTAAGATAGTAAATGAATAAACTTGACTTGACTTGTCAGTAAGTAAACTCAAATATGTTTAGATAAGTGACTTGTCAGTGTTAAACAGTTACAGTTTTCAGAAAGGAATTTTGTGGAGATTTGAGTAATTTTATATGGTTGAGATCATGAGTCAGTTGAAGCTAGACAACCATGGATAATCTGGAAGCACTGGACGACCGTTTCGTCCTATTGTAGGACTCTTTAGCAGTGCGCATCCACGATCCCGCCTAGCGTGATTTGAACTCAGGACATATTGAAATTACTATAATATCCACAAAACCCCTTATTATATTAATCAACATATGCTCACTAGTGACTGGCTTCAAGAGGTATTTCCTGGAGTTCTAGTGAGAAGCAGTGACCATTAGAGTTCAACCAGGTCTGCTGTGAGATAGTAACTAACTAAAGACAATTGTAGATGTGCCACTAAATTTCGTGGATTGGTTGAAGTTAGACATTAACCCCGTTGGATGCCGGTTCAGTGGTTTAGAGGTTAAACTCTCGCTCGCGAGAATGATAGGTCCTAGGTTCGAATCTCGCTAGACAGAATCGTGAATGCGCACTGCTGAGGAGACCCATAATTCATATCGGTAGTAACATGAAATATACTTCTCGAAGAAGGATGAATAAAGTTAAAGAAAAAATGTAATCCATGATAGTATTTTAAAATTCAAGAGATTGCGAAAGGGTTAGAATTGAGGAAACTGTAGTGTCGGTTACTATGGTAAACCCATATACCTTATTATAACTTATGGACAGCCTAATTTATCTATTCTTCTTGATTCACGTTTTGATATTGTTGATTATTCGCTTATCAACCTTGACTGTTTTTGTATGAGCGTGTGTGTGAGTACGCTTCTTATCCTATTCATCACATGTCCGTAACTTATTTTTATCTGACTATAAATATTGATTAACGTTTGATTCAATCTTGTTAGCTTCCCTGCTATGTTCATCACTCGCCATTTCGTTCTGCCCTCTTCTCTTTGTTTCTTTTGCTTCGTCTCTCTAATTGCCTGTTCACATCAAACAAACATCCATTTTCTTATTTGACTTATTTAATTCCGTTATTCGTTAACGCGATTTAAGTCGAGGATCATGTAAACGAGGATAGGCGACATATATATTTCTACAGTAATCATTCAATAATAATCATCCCTACCAGATTACTGCAGTCAGATACAGGGCCATAGAAAAGGAATAACATTGTCTGTTGCTAAGATTGATTTCTTGTCATGTTGTCTAGCTCTTCAAATCATGAATAACGATAATCTCACCTACATCAACTTGCTGTACAGATCATTATGGGAATTTATAAATTCATGTACTGAACATCTTTAATTTATCATAGTTGAAATCATGAGTCAGTTGAAGCTAGACCACCATGGAAAACCTGGAAGCATAGGATGGCCGTTTCATTCCATTGTGGGACTCCTCAGCAGTGCGCATCTACGATCTCGCCTCACGAGATTCGAACCCAAGACCTACCAGTCTCGCGCCAGAGCACTTAACAGTTAGACCGCCAAGCTTGTGTTAGTGAAATATAAGATCAATATTTTTTTCGAAAGCTGTTTTGATATACGATTGTACAGCTTGATAATAAATTTGTTGAAAAGAGATCCCTTCTCTGAACTTTGTGTTTTTAATAATGGTATTGTTTAAACAATGGAAAACTACATAAATCCTCATCCAAACATTCAGTATACAAAAAGACAGTGTAAAGAAATGTTTTCTTTCAACTAGATTTTTATCATGACTTTATATATATATGATATCTTCAAACTAATGAGTTGACATACAGATGTTCTAGCAAGAATACCTAGTAAATGTAATTCAATCAATTAGAAAAACATATATTCAATCGTTTACAAGTATTACTTAGCCTTCAGAATCATGCAAGTCAATTGACAAACTTATATTTCAGAACGGGATTTTGTGGTGATTTCAGTATTTTTCATAGTTGAAATCATGAGTCAATTGAAGCTAGACCACCATGACGGCTCACTGGTCTATCGGTTAAATGCTCTGGCACAAAACTGATAGGTCCTGGGTTCGAATCTCGCTTGCGAGGTGGGATAGTGAATGCGAACTGCTGAAGAGTCCCATAATTGTACGAAATTGCCTTTCAGTGCTTCCAGGTTTTCGATGGTGGTCTAGCTTCAATTAACTCATGAATTCAACTATGAAAAATAATACATAACTATTCAATGATGATAAATAACTACTTACTTTAGGTAATAAACTTGTTGATATCGTTGATCCATTCGAAGTTGTATGATCTGAACTATTAATTTCCTTCAATTCATGATCAATATTTAATGGAATTGGATGAATTTCATTTTTTCTGAAAGAACGTTTATGTTCTTCTGGTATAACCCATGGTGGTATAGCACCAGCTTCACGTCTATGTGACATATTATATCCAATAATTATTTGTTTTATAATTTATATGAATGTCGGTTTTTTGGGAAAAAAAAAGAAAAAAACGAGAGAGAGAAAAACGAGAAAAAAAAGAAACTAAATCAATGTTACTATTCATTTATATAATTTTTATAATAGTCTATCAATCAATGAAATAATCATTTATATATTTAAACGATTTTGATTGGTTTAAAACAATCAGTATAATATTGAATATTAGTATCTATGTATCAGTTATTCTTTAAACTCATAGTAACTATTACTATAAATGATGTAGTTAGGGAAGAGAAATCTGTTTCTTCCCCCCCCCAATCACCTTAGTAACTATGTAATTGGTTTGAAATCTCTCTTGATGTTATAAGTATATAAGTTGAGATTTTTTTATTATTATTTTTTTGGTGTATAAATGGAAAATTCTGATAAACTGAATAATGGATTTTTATTATAATTCGTTTCTGTGAAAAAAAATACAAAGAAAACGAAATAAATTAACCAATCAAATTCATGGATAATAGGGATAACTGTTTCTTTCTGTCCCGTGATTGGGTTAAAATAATTAGGTTGTTATTATTATTGTAAGCAAAGATGGATAGTGGCTAGCAGTGGAATCCAGTTTGACGCCCGTTTCATCCTATTTGGGACTTGTCAACCGGATGTACCTCCAACTCAGAGTTGATGTTCACTCTAGGACTCGAACGTAGTACCGTTTGATTCAAACGTCATCGCATTATCCACTCGGCCACTGAGTCCGACGAAACACGCGTCAAATTGGATTCCACTGCTAGCCACTATCCATCTTTGCTTACAATGCTTGTGAATTAAGGCTATATCGAGGCAATACGCACAGTATGCACTTATGGTAATTGGAGACTTACCAGTTGCAGTCCTAACAAATCGATAGGAAGATTCAAACAAACAATACTAAATGAATGTTTTTATTACTATTACTAGTATTATTATTGTTGTTGTAGAAATCAAGACGATGATTTGTTGATATCCCATGAATTCTGTTGTCTTTTAATGATGAAAAATTCTCAATTGATCGATCACTGGGTGGTGATCAATGTCATGTATGTGTCAAATCGTTCTTAGTGCACATTAAATGCTATCGATCAAGTTGCAATATGGTCACTTGTCTAGGTGGCTCGATAGAATTCGATCTACACTAAGAAGGACTTGACACACATATGACATTGATCACCACCCAGTGATCAATTAATTGTGATTATATCTCAGTCCTACAGAATAGCTTTCTGGTGACGTATCTGACTGTGAATCTGGGTGATACGGGGTTGAATCCTTCAGGGAGCACCAGTTCCCTCAAGATTACGCGTACATCTTGCTGACGAGTGCCAAGTAGCACGAAACCCGGGTTCAGGGTTTCTTGTTGACCACCTCCAACCACCATCTTATCTCGATAAAAACTCTATCAAAAGGTTAGATGAATTTAATAGCTAAATGTGAAAATAAATTTTATTCATTTTAATTGAGATATTACTTACAAATTAACTGATGAAATCAATTCGATAAACTATGGGTGAGACTATAATTTATGGATGAATCAATCAGGTATAAGATAATAGATCTTGGATTTTGGCACGAAATTCAATCATCCATTTGATTAAATAAGGTTTTGTCATTATAACTGATATCAGTTAGTGATGAAAATCATTAAACTAATTACTAACCTTGATCATCAACTGTAAATCATAATTCTTATTCATCACATTGGTTTATAACTCTCATTTGGTCTTAGTTGTTAGGTGAATACTCTCACGGTCACTCTAGTATCGATCAAAGGTCTTCTATAAGTGATAGTCTCACCAAACTTTCTCATACTTCTTTGCTTGGAGAATTAGCTACCACAACAGACTAAATCTTTATGAATATACCAGTTTATCTGTTTCAGTAAAGCCGAGTGCGTTGATCTCTCATCAAGACGCTTTCTTCATTTCAGTCAAGACCATGTTCTAGTATAGTTTAACCCAAAAAACGAAACAGAATGATCGTATATATTTTTTCCGCGGTATGTAGTAGGTCCAAATCTATATTCTTTCCTTAATATAATTCACAAGATATAGACAAAGATTTCGAGTAGTTTATCAATGTTGCTTAGTAGAAACTTTAGAGATTTATAATTAAAAATAAGAGTTATCTGTACAAAAACAATTTGTTAGACAGTCTTTTGATTATAGTCCTAATTAATTTACCGTTTGATCTTGTGTTGTGTTTAAAAAAGTCTTTTAATTCATCCAATACTTATTTTTGTTTATCCTCTCCCTTTCTCTTTCTTCCGGTGATTGACTGGATTATGAAGACCTTCACATCTGACGGGAAGCACGAAATACAATGGACAGCTTGGGATCAACTACATGACATAGACTTCGCAGATTACCTAGCTTTTCTATCCCATACACATCAACAAATACAGGCAGCCTATTCATCAGTAGGTCTCAACATACACAAGGGGAAATGCAAGATCCTCAAATACAGTACGCAAAACACCAACACAATCACATTTGACGAAGAAACTATGCAACATGTGGAAACGTTCATGTATCTGGATAGCATTACCAATGAACGTGGGGGACCCGATGCAGATGTAAAGGTGAGGATTGTCAAAGCAAGAGCCGCATTCCTACAGTCGAAGAATATATGGAACGTGAAACAGGTGTCAGCTAATATCAAAGTCATAATCTTTAATCCCAATGTCAAGACAGTTCTACTATACAGAGCTGAAACTTTCATAACTGCCACAACTTTCATCAAAATTATACACGTACTTATAAACAATTGTCTACGTAAGATACTCAATATCCATTGACCGAATACTATCAGCAACAGCCTAGTGTGGGAGAGGATAAACCAGCTTCGAGCTGAGGAGGTAATTATGAAAAGACTGCGGAAGTTAATAGAACATACATTACGGAAATCATTAAACTGCATCATGAGGCGAGCACTGACTTGAAATCCTCAAGGGAAGCGGAAAAGAGGAACGCCAAAGAACACACTGCGTCGGGAATCGGAAGAAGACATGAAAAGGATGAATGTCAACTAGAAATAACTGAAGAGGATTGCTCAGAACAAAGTTCTGTGAAGAATGCTGGTGGGAGGCCTTTGTTCTTCCTATATGGGTAACAGGCGTTAGTAAGTGCGTATTACTTATTTTATCATTGGGAAAGACCGTTTCAACTTTAAACCCTTATTTATTATTCATATTACATGACAATCATTAGAACTTCTATGTTTGTAACATTAAAGTTTACTCTTCTTATCATAATGATCAAATATCTCCTACATTCCTTAAATTCCCTTTTTGTAACTTAAAAATATTTAAAATTATTTAGCCAGTGCTTCGAATTACATCCTACTATATTATTTTTCTAACGTGTATGCATTTTCAGTAAATTCGAGTTGTGACTGATGGTGAAATCTAGGACTTGGGTTTCATCCCATTTATGACTCATCAACTGGATATAATAACATACTGTTGCTGACACTTGCTTAGAACACAAATGTCCATCACCTATCACTTCAACACATCGACATATCACCCACTGATCTACTGAGTTCAGATAACTACTAACTTTTCTAACGACTATGATGATTATCATTATAGGGGTTATGGAGATTGATGGACTTTATTGGGATCATGAACTGATTTAAGTCAAACAACCATTAAAAATCCGGAAACACTATGTGACTGTTTCGTTTCAATGTGGAACTCCAAATCAGTGGGAATCCACAACCACATAACCGAAGATCGAACGCACGACTTTGGGTTTTATGCGCGAACACTTAATCTCTAAACAGCAGAGCTTCTGAATTTCAACACCACTAGCAGACATATAAATAGCCGACCTTTCCGTAACTTAACTAGCTTTGGAGTAAGTCACCCTTTGCCACCTTGCATCTTTTCTCTACTATTTGAGTCTTGGGTGTGGGAGTATTTAGGTAATCTAGGAAGCAGATGAGAAATTTTAAAGCCATCTTACTTAATGCTCCACAAGCGGTAGTTTTCGATGAAGTTCGTGATGGTTTATGATTATTGATTCTAGGATCTTTGCAGCTACTCAACTAAGGTTTGTATTTTAAAGGACTCTTTCTGGCTCAAGTTTTATTGGTAGAATCAACTATAAAATTATGCCAACCTATTGATAACAGAAAATGAATAAGGAAAATTCTAGATGTCTTTTAGTGAGAGGTGACCTTATATATTACACTTTAGGCCAACAATCTGTGGTGTGGCTTGCGATTTTGTTGGTGTTATTGCCAAAGTTCAACTTGATAAGTTCAAGTTTCAGATATCATCCTCTGATGAAGTGGCCTACACTGTGTCACGAAACAGAAAATCTAAAAAAATTAAAATTTCTAGTCATTCGTACACTACAAATATACTATTTTTACTAATAAGTCATACTATTTCCTCTCGAGTTTCGCATATCCAGAAGTCCAAATTTTATTGATAAGTAGTCTTGCTTGATGTCTCATGGTGTTTAACGCAAATATGTTGAATCTGTAGTGACCTGCTTTTCTAGACGAGAACACGATTGGAATGATGGAAACAATTATTATTATAACCAATTGTAGCAGTGTTTGTTTTATCGTACTCGTTGTTGTTTAACTGTATCAAAGTCACCTTTCGCCTTGTTTGGTTCGAACTTTCTTACGCTCTGCCCTTATTGCCTGTACTCGTTGGCACGTCTCGGTATTCTTTCGAAACCACAAGATCGCCAATAAATATACTTTATCTGGACCAGTTACAGTCTTCTGGTTCGCGAGTTATCGAAGGGACCAATTCGTTTTTGGGCGCATATCTTATTATAGTGGCGATTATAGTCAAACGCGATTCGACGCCTTCTACAAATCCACACAATCGCACTATTATTTCTGAATAGAGACTTTAATAAAGTGTTTGACTGTTAACTGTTAGCTAACTTCTGATCAGTTGTGTGATTAATTTGAACGCCTAATGTGTATATCCTCACCACTCGCCTTTCTTTGTTTGTCTGCCCAACTACTTAGTGATTTACGGTGTTTCATTATTAGGTCGGCTTATAAATATTTCAAATACGTCGACTAATGGAAACCTTGAATAACTCGGTCTCATTTCAGCATAATATGAAGTAATCCTAGACATAGTTAATCATTAGAAGATCGCCAGATACCCTGGTACAAGTAGACATAAACTTAATCCAATTACTAAAAGGTTTAACTACGGTATTGATCCATGGCAATTGCCCCCCGAATCCATTTGTTCCCATTAAATCCTATTGTACTTTAGTGCTATTTATTACTACTGCACATGTTAGATAATTCTATTGTTCAAATACTCACTAAGAAACCTTACTATCCAAATTTTTGCATAACTCATTCGTCTGTGATCATTAAAAATAACAAATAAAACACGTTTGCATCGCGGATTCTGTGACATTACTGCTGGGGATAATGGCGCGTTGCAAGTTCATGAGTAAGCACATTTATAGAGTATTAAGCAGCAGCTTTTGCACTCCTTTATTGTCCGGGAAGTATTTTATTTTGTGATTAGAGTGGAAATTCATTAATTCATTTTGTCCTGTAAATCACTATTATGGTTAACACATGATGATTTTCATACTTACTCTAAGGTACCCGAATTATAATAGCACATTATGTAGCGGTAAATAAATACCAAAAATATGTAATTCTGTAATTCCTTGACATCAATATAGACCTCATTTGCTTTACTGGACAGACTCTAGCTGAATGCTCACCGTCACGCATCCGCACCAGACCGCGAGTGAATATGCCGTGTAACGCATCCAATGCAACTACCAGCAAGCTTAGATCTATTAGCTTGCATTCTTCATCTCAAACTGCATGATGATCAATAAGATTGTTTAATACCTCGATTTGTCTAGTTGTTGTCATCTACAAGGAACCCACTATTGATCTCTCTAGTCGTCTCAGATATACTTACTACCTCATTCTAGCAGATTTGAATCTTCCTAAAGTCGACTTCACTTAACACATGTACAACAATCTGTTATTTGAGAATAAATTATTATTATTATTATTATTATTATCATAGGTTACGGATATATTGAAGCTCGGTCCTTCAACCACATTGAAGAACTGCGATTGTTCGAAAGTGTGCAGTTAGTCACTCATTGAAGAAATAGTCAGATGCCGTCAAATTTTGACTGCATATTTGCAAACGAAGAATTCCTCACTGAAAACTTATCAATCCTGGCCCCTCTTTGTGAAAGTGATCATGCCGTCATAGCTTTTAAATATATTAGCAACCCCAAGCCGAAACATCCTACTAACAACAGGTGTCGGAATTACCAAACTGTTGAATGTGTCAGCTTTGCAGGTCAATCTACAGTAGGTAGACTGAGAAGCTCACCTTCAACATGGTGTGAATGCTCATGGGGATTTCTTGCTGTACACGATCTTATGTGCTACAAAGCAGTCTGTTCCACCAACGTTCCACAAAAATTGCAAACATAATGCAGTCATAAATAATCACACTCTTAGATTGCTAAGACACAAAAGGCATTACTAAGAGGGATATAAACGAACTATTGACATCAGTACACATAGGCAGTTCAAACAAGCAAGGAACCGGTGCACAAAAGCGACAAGAAAAGATAGGCTTCGGTAGCGGAGAAAGCTAGTAGATAGGTTTGTCTCCAATCTAAAAAGCTTATTCCGCCATGCAGCCTCTCATCAACGAGCCAACACCACAGTTTCCCAACTGCTGAGTCCTAATGGACCAGCCAGAAACGACGGTGACGCCACCACCCTTCTGGCAGAACTACACTTTTAGACATTTCAACCGACCCACACTAATAAAATTGATGAAAGCTTTGTCTGCAACTCCACAGGACTCCCAGAAGTGAACCTGAGCACTGATTTGGTGTATTAGAATCTGCAGCAACTAAACAAGGATACTTCTCTTGACCCATATATTTGCTATGCTGAGGGAAACAGCTTCGGTCTTGAAAAACCGATTAGCTTGATATCCTGATATTCGCTAAGATGAGGCATATTACCAGAAAAACGGAAGCTGGCTCACACTTCACCAATTTTCAAAAGAAGGAAACTCAGAGAACCTTCAAGCCACCGACCAGCAGTAATTCTCTCATTGCCCTCAAAGATTGTAGATTCCTTGATGTGCGACGTTCTACATGACCACATTCTATCTTTAAACATCTCTTCAGCGCAACAGGATGGTTTCAGAAAATGTCACTTTTATAACCGACCTGCTGACCGCGATGGACAGATGGACAACCATCCTTGATCACGAAGGGAAGGTTGATGTCATACACCTTTATTTCTCAAAAGCTTTTGATAGGGTCTATAATACCAATAAGCTCAAACGAATAGGTATCAAGTCACCACTATTTGATTAGCTTACTTCGTGTCTAAAATCTCGTCTTTTTGAAGTCAAGGTAAACTTCAATTTTTCTCAGACTATGAGATTTCTTGGTTAGGTTACCCAGGGTTCATTACTAGCACCCATTCTTTTCTTTATTTGTGTAAATGACTCCCGCTAACTGCTATAATCTAAGTTATCACTTTCCGTTGACGATATAAAACTGGAGAGAAGTTTGGAACCAAGAAGATCAGCTCGTAATTCCGGAGGACCTGACTGGAATTCAAACTTCGGTAGATGACAATAAAACTACGTTTAACACTTCAAAGTGTTAAGTAGTCCACGTGAGACATGTTGCAGACTATGCTTAAAACTAAGGTAACTCACCTCTAGATGCATCTCACGTTGAAAAAGTTCTATGAGTGTTGGTACCCTACGAGCTGAAGTCTTAGGCTAACTGTTGTAAAAATGCCTTTCCTGAAAATCTTGCAGCGATTTCGACGGTAGATTGTTCCACTTGATATTCATGAGTTTTATTCGATCCCACTTATAGTATAGGAATATAGTATTTACTCCCCCACTCACAAAGAATAAGAACTGAAATGAATCAGACGGTGAGCCAAAAAAGTCAGTTCGTGGACTCAATTTTAGGCCTTATTAAGAGCGCCTCAACTCACTAAACCTTTACCGGTTAGAGAAAGGGGCGTCACTGAGACGACCTTTTAGTGACATACAGTATCCTAAACACTTCTGGTCATCCACTTAAATACCTACTTAAGCTCAGTCCCAACACGAAATTAGGGAAACACTCAAAAACTGAGGATAGAACATAGCAGAGCAAACCAAAAACACAACTTTAATCCCTAAGAGTCGTTAAATTCTGGAATTTATTGGAGTCTGAGCTAGTCTAGAGACTTTGCAGGAGTCCTTTAAAAGAAAACATTACATATTCTTATAAACTACGGACAATATTTCACCATAATATATAGATAATTTTTCTTCTCTGTTGTCAAAAATACCTAGGCTCCTACATGGAGGCACGGGTGACCCACTGCTACTAGATACAGAAGTCCGTTAAGAGAAAGCTTTCTCTATTCCGTCCGGGACCATTTGAAACCATACGAAACCATTTAAACCTAAATACTTTTGGATCAGCATTTGCTTTAATAAGAATTAATTCGAAACCACTCAACGTCCTGTGTTTTCTTTCTTGTAAGACTTTATAAGTGTGATAAATTGAGTTTTGGAACATTGAATAGCATATTGTGTCTCCTTAACAGTTGCCAGGCTTTCACCCGGGATGTACCAAGTCCCTCGTCACGCGCGGCAGAAGTTGTTTTGGTTTTTATGTTTCGTTCTTGTTTCCATATCTTGGGGATTCGTATTCTGGACAGGAGCTGTGATAGTTAAGCGAAACTTAGAGTCCAACTGATAAAATATCATTCTGAATTGTCAAGTTGAATGGAGCTCACTGATCCCCAAAATCCCAGGCTTTTAACAAATCTCGAAGTCCTGAAGATTATCAAAGATAAACTTGAATCGAAAAAGAAAGTCAGACGCCAGCAAACGCTATTGTATACAGGCGCAAAGTATTTAAATACTAAGTCACCTTGTAGCAAACAAACAGAGTCAGGAGTACAGGGATTTGCTAATGATGTCAAGGTATTTGATTTAACAAAGTCTGAAATCCTAATGCTTATCAATCACTGTCCCAGTAGTCAAGTGGAGCTATCAGTAGTGAGTTATATTGTTTTTGAAACATCCATATATACGATAGATATACGTTCTCACAACGAAATGTGTTGTCATTTGTTTTTGTGTACACGTTGCCACTGAAAATAGACATTCTATTACAGTTAGGCGTTTGTACACCCCCTTGGAGATAGTTCTGTTGAACGTCTATGTAAACCATTTGGCGATAACTCGATGTTATTATTTGTGGTTGACAGCTCGTGGCACGTGATTATACATCTCATATTTTATTCTCCAAAGCTTAAAATCAGTTACTTAACACGAAACGTCTCTTCGAAGATACTGGTTTTTTGGAATAACCTTTTATAATTTTGCAAAATTATGTACACTTGAAGTATTGGGTTGACTAAAATAGTTCCACAATCATTCTCATAACTCCAGTTAGTCACTTTCAGGTAATTTGGTATTCCAAGCACAAATGTAGTGCAACGTTGTTTACTCACCACTGCTTGCCCCATTAAGCTCTAAAAGTATCACCATTCAATATAGACATGTAGGTTGATTTTAGTCATAGTCACCAGCCATATTTTTCAACCACTTAATTGGTATGCTTCTTCTAGCTCAATTACTTGTAGACAGTATCCAAGTCAGTTGGCTTTTAATCATTTGATTATTGATTAGATTGTGTAATTCGATGGAAGATACTTCCCGTCCGGTGTTTGCGTTTGTCTGGCTATGGACCATAATTTATACACTTATTATGTGACAGCTGCAATAAGTAGATGGGTGTAAAGTGGTATTTAACTGTTGCTCGAATGCTTGGTGAACTAAAATATCATTCTACTGTCCCCATATTTACCTAAATAGAATGCGTTTCCAAACAAGGTGGTCGCTTTATTTCCAGCTATAGCCTTAATATTTAAGATAAAAATACTCAGCGATCGTGTTTAATTATCTGCTTTTTTTTAAAAAAATTGCTTCGCTCACAACAGCTTGTAAATACTGGTAGTTCTAGGTGTTGTGGTAGAGATTATGATGACGTTGGTGATGGTTTGAAGTGTATAAGTCGGTGACACCTTTTATTTATGTTGTCTACGTGATTTCCATATGAACCTTTTGTGGTACTAAGATAAGTTGAGAAACACGGTCAGTTTGTCATCGGCTATCTTGGTGGAGTTGTATTTTATGCTCTTCAGGGTAAGGTACACTTTTGGGGAAGAATGAAACCTATCATGGATATTTATTGGAGTTGTACCTGTTTTTTCTATTCAGTAATGCTGACTGATTCGCCGCATTTATTTATATAGTTTCCATGTTATTTTGTGTTGTGCTTTTCATGATACCTAACCTTTGGTGCAAAAAGATCTAGGTGTTTGAGCTGTTTATGAGTCGGTCAAAAAATGTTTTATGTCGTGATATAGATGTACCACATAGTCCAACTGGAAAGCACTACTTTTGCCCCACATTTATTTGAACACATAAATATTGGTACAAGGGGGCACCAGATATATATATATATATATATATATATATATATATATATGCACAACAAATTTGTGTGAGGCCTGTGATGCTGTCCAGCCCGAAGCAGGTGGTTTTCTTAGAGGACCACACCCCGAGTCTGTGACCTAAAAATCTGAACTACAAGGCAGTGGAGCATCGTAAAGAAATGCAGTCCTATGGTAGCCGGTGACTAACGATTGATTCATACGCCATTTGTTCCCTCAGGATACTGGAGCCCATGTGTACCATTGGTTTTGTATCCGTGTTTCCCAACTCCCCTATATAAACACTCCGTGTCCATCAACCCGGTTAAAGCGCTGTACATTCGCTTTTCGTCCTCTCAATTTTGTAAACAACACCCCCGCCATGAGAAGGCAGTGAGTAGAACTTCCCTGGCAGAGGTCGTGTGAGAGCATGTCCAGAGAGGGCGGGCCCTCCCCATTCTCAGCCGTACCAGTATAAACCCACTATAACATGGGGCGAGTATATAGTACGTAATAGATAGAAATAATTTGTTGGAAATGAAACGCTTTCAACTCTCACTTCGTTTCAGTAACCAAAATGTCCTTTTTGGAACGTGAATTGAAAAGAGTTGTCTTCATAATGTTTGCTTCAAAAGCCTAGTGTCGACAGTGTACATCGAGAATTTCTGGAAAATTATTTCAACTGTGGAAGATATTTAGTTAGATTACAGTCAGCATTCTAGTTTTAGTTCCCTGGTTTTAATATAAAAGCAGGCTTGTTTAATACTGGGTTGCAACCAGCAGATTGTTGATTACATTTATCTGGATTTCTGTTGCAGATAATCAGCGATTTGGATTCTCGATTATCTAACAGTCAAGCTGACCAACTTCTACAATTAGTACAAAAGCATTTTCCCGATGGTGTTACTGCAAGTCAAATGATCAATTCCACTGGTACATTAGAGGCATCTGAAGATGTCACATAATTATTACTACTTGTATTTATCTTTTATCCTAACATAAATATATTTTACTAGTCTTTCAATTTTTCGCTAGTTTATTATCTCAAGTTATAGATGGGAAATTATGGAGTAATGTTTAAATGGTTCGAAATGAGCATCTTAATCAAGTCCCTTCAAACTACCAACTTTCGTCATGAGCTTTGTTTTATGAGTTTACTCTTCAAAAGTTGTATATAGCGTCTACGTATGTAGATTCTTTTCATAGCTTTATTTCAAAAATATCAAACCCTGAAGAGATTCGGTAAAAATATGGGAATGCACAGTATCCTGGCTCAAATGTCTCCCAACTGAAGTTGACGAGGTATATGTTAATGATGGCAAATTAGTAGTAATATCAATGATAACAAGAAAAATTAACAAAGGTCACGGTTTGAGTGGATTAAATGCGATTAGTGAATAAAGAGTATGGAATTATTTTACGATCTCAAAGTTGGAGGAAAACGACGAGTAAATATGGCCACGCTACCGCAACGAATTTCGTGCCAACAAGATAGGCTATCTACCATTCATTAGGATTGTGATGTGAATTTCGTTTCGGGTCCATAGGTTGTTTGGTGTTTCTTAATTCTTTTCAATGAACCGTTGGCCACTCTTGCACGTTGGTGTAGGCGGCGGCCAAGTCTGTAACAGGTATACCAGCCATTGCAGTGGATAAATATTTATAAATATATCGGGGACCGTAAACACCTAAGAATGTTATGCACGCCAAGTTGATGGCTGTCAGTTGTAAAATATCTATATATTTTGAGGGATACACGGAAATGTCTAGGATATGGCGTGAGGGTTCATGCAGAAGCAAGGCACTGATAACAGCAAAACCTTTCATCGGCATATTCAGCACTTGGTGTCTTATAGTTTTAATTAGATCGTTGAGCCGAATTAGTCTTTTCCCACTTCATTCAGATCATCACTAAATTTTGTGCGTGGACATCTTCGGTTGAATCCTCATCCCACGCTTTGAACTTCAACATCAGTTTTAAGTCGGACATAAGCGGCGACGGCACCACACAGCAAAAGCCGATGTTGCTCCCATTTACAGTTGGCATTATCACATCCGTCAAGACTAATGAGATACTTTGCATACCAACCTGAGGCTTTGTGGACCATAAAAGCTATCTTACGCAATATATAAGAGAGTAATCGAAGTGTTAGTAGGCATTAAGTTTGGGTTTGCGACTTAGGGGACAATGAATAGAGTTGCGGAGATCCTATTAAGATGTGTAATCAAGTTGATTAAGACCGATGTCAATCACAAAGTACGTTCTAATGCTCCAAATTATATATCCTACTTTCTGTCATGCATTTTGATTCAAGCACAAAGCGCGAAACTCCAAGTTATTCAATACGAAACTATTTGAAGTCATTCCAAACAGCTGACAACAAAGATAGGATTCCGACAGACTTATAAGATAAATCAAAAGATTTCAACTAAACAGACATGCTAGCTAAAACACTTGACCAACAGATGCTAGACCATACCGGTGGAAGTCTATAGAACGCCTAAAACCTGTCATTAGACAGGCAGAAGGTCCAACCTGAAGACATTACTTATTGTATGATGGATTTAAAAGACAAAGAATAGGCCAATGATACAAATTTATTAACTAATGAATGGAACTGGCGGTTGATGCAATTTTTGGCCACATATCAGCGCATTCTTTAGCCACAGGACCGGTAATTGCCGAGCCTGAAATGAAAAAATGGGGTTTGTTTTACTGTAAGACTTGACAAGTGAAGTGTTGTTCTTTCTATTAAACGTTTTTAACAATTCAAATTAACAAGACAATGGCAAAAACGTTACATAGTGATTATTCATTAAGACGTTTGCTTTGAAAGTAATGGAAGATTGCATACTTATTCAAAACCAACTTATCAGACAAACATTAAAAACTACCAGTCGGTTTGTAAGCGCTAACAATACTTTAAGGCAGGAACGTAAGGCCACTAGGTCTTATTATTTAATGAAAATAATTGGTATGAGGTATTATTCAGTACAACAATTTACTGAACTTAACTAGCAGTAGTACTGTTGTCACTGCGTGGACTATTTCTTTGAAGTGTCCAACTAGATAACTGTCTGATCAAGTAATATAGTCATTAGTGAATGCTTGAAACAGTAAACGTTAACAAACTAGGCAACCATAGCACGACCGACGATTATGCATTTGGCGGACTACGTCTCGAAAAGTCACAACTTCGTCTGGGTTAGTAACCCTTACTAAATACTTGCCTGAAGCAGATAAATCCTGGTCAAACATGACTCCAGAAAATACACAAGATGTGAAAACAGCCAGTTAAAAATTCAACAAGAACGCCGTTAAGTAAGACAATTTATTTAGAAACAGCCAGAAAAAAGCACTACAAACAATCATATGTTTACCGATTGAGAACAACACGCAATGTTTCCTTAAAGTGACACTATTGATAACTGAATTTCTTATACTTTCATATATATTCAGTGATACTATCATTCCATTTCAGTCTCACTTAATAAAATATTGAGGTGCTACTATCTAACACTAAGAATGTCATTAAACCAATCCATATAGTCCACTTACAATCTAGGAAACAATTGAAACATACTTCTAGAAAGATAAGGGTAGCACTATCAAAGAACCCACCAGATTACCACTGATTATTATATGCTGGATAGATTAGTTTTCTCTACTACGAAGTGATAATCTATTATTCTTGATGTGACTTCAGACAAATGCAAATTCATCATTCAATCTCTAAAGGATCAATTACAAATACAGAGTGCACCAAATGTTACTAGATAATTAATCTTTGAAGGGTTTATAAAAGGTTGGTTGGAAGAGTTTGTCCGAAACGTTAACACGATAACTTATTGAACGGATTATGTAATGTATCTCAGATCCTGAACTCGAGTCTTTCATAAGATTGTCACCTTAATTCAGTCTATCGATGATCCTATATCAGATCATGCGAATATACCTGCAAAGAACTCACTCCCAGGCTTTTTTTAACGCAAGAATACCAATCTAAACGTGTAAAGGGCATGGTGACCCTGAAACAACAAAGTAGGGAGTAAAATTCTTTAAACTTTACCTTTAAGTTCCCCCTTGTTGTTAACAATCACGCCAGCGTTATCTTCGAAATAAATAAATACCCCGTTTTTACGTCTGAAGGCCTTGCGTTGTCTGACAACTACAGCATACAACACCTTTTTTCTTAGTTCTGGTTTCCCTTTTTTAACTGAGCAAACAATGAGATCACCAGTTGCTGCTGATGGAAGACGGTTCAAGCGACCTCGAACGCCAAAAGTGGCTATTACATACAAATTTTTAGCACCACTATTGTCAGCACAGTTCATTATAGCTCCAACAGGAAGAGCCAATGAAATTCGGAACTTTCCACCAGATGAACCACCCCTTCCTAGTTAAATGAAAAGCTATAGATACAATCTGGACGAAACAGGCTGTGCATCAAGTCTAATGTAAACGAAAACGAGAAACTCACCACGCTTCGGCATGATGCAGGTTTAACCGCGGTTAAAAAGTATTGATTAAGTAGCACAACTTAAGTATGTTTGTGTAAACATCATTCAATGTACCATTGGTCCATATTATGACAGACGAAATATATGAATTATTTATGTGATCATACCACACGTTTAAGAGCATTAAGTAACATGCTTTATGACAGTGACTGGTGTCCACATAAGGAAATTGTTTGGACAATATAAGCTAATGGTTCAAAACCTAGTGTTGTTGATAAACGCTGCTACGACTAGCTGCTTCCAAAGCAATTGGTTCTAGTTGTAGTGGGATAGTTCTAGGTTCAAATCCATATTAAATAGGCAACCTTAAACACTTTTTGTGATCGTTATGGTTCAAATGATCCAAACGATTCAGGACGGAATAGAAGCTTTCCCTTGACGGACTTCCATATCCAGTAGCACTGGATCACCGATACCTCTCGGTATGAACTTAGGCATATTAGCGATAAAAGAGTAAAATGGGAAACATGTTGACACAATGGATACAGTGGGGACTTTCCGGTTCAGCTTTAAGGACTATGCAGGATTAATTGAATGTGAGTTCGATTTTGGCTGGTGAAAATGGAAAACTAAACTCTGGACGTAAATTTTCGGCTATCTTTGTCCTTCAGATGACTCACTGTTCCTTAGAACACATGAGACTGAAACTGCAACGAAGTTGCTGCTCGGAAAACAAACGGAATGACAACGATAGTGAATATTTGTGGTTCATATTAACTAAGAATATTTGCGCAAAGGTCCCCCAAACCAGAAGCACGTGACTTCTTCAGTGCATTCTGAAGTTATTGAACCACTAGACTTTTAGGGTCTAAGTGATTCCTTCTTACTGATAAACTCCCATAACAAAATGGTTTCTCAGCAAGTTTCTCCGATTATTTCCGGTTATTCACCCAAATATTTAAACAATGTAAGACCAAACAAGTGATAGGACGGATAGATCATTTTATTCTCATTGGCGATTTTCTACGCCTTGATGTATTTGTTCTTGTTAATGCCTTCAAACCTGTTGTACTCATTCTCGCTCAGTTAATTGCTAACATTTACCCATGTATTTTTTGAAAGCATTTTCACTATGTCTGCGCTTGATTATCTGTGCATGTTTGTATATTTTATTCATTGTCTGTTCAGCATGAACAAAGTAAATAGTGTTCAAAATAAATTATCTAGCTCAAGTTAATTCTGTCTACTGGTATGGCTGTTTGTGCGTGTTTGAATGTCCAACAACCACCACTATTATGTAAGTAGAGTTAACTGAAGTATTGTATACGAGATTTAGTCTGAAAATAATATTCCAGTGGAGTCAACCAAAGGCATAAAGATATGATGGATATTCAGTGTCTGATAAATCTGTCCGCAACCTCTATATAGTCGGGGATTCCGAACCCAGTGGGAACAGAAGTCAGGAATGAAGAGGTCAGAAGATTTACTCGGAAGATAATCTATCTGTCAGGAAGTATATGATCTAAGGTGACGTGTAGCACGGAGTACTCAGTTGTGAATGGGTGCAAGTGCTTTACCAAGAGCTTTCAGCTCACCTGTGTCTACTAAAATTAATGAGGACCACAGCATTGCCGATGAATTACTGAACTTTTTACTTTGGAGATTTATTTGCTGTCACAGACGTTATAAAACTTGCACTATCAGTTTGATGAACGCGGTGGACAACTAGATCGAAATTCTCAACTTTGTGGGTGAGATTGATGTGTACACATCGAATTCTTTTGCTCGTCATTGTCGTATAGAGCAGATGGATTTTCGCTTACGAATAACGCTGAAGATGTCAAATAGATCGAATACCTTCCGCCTATAAGGAGAAGCGATTATGCAGTCTTCATTTTCAAGTTTATTGCTGCAGTGGTCTATCCTGGTATATAGAAGACTGGTATTGAGGTAATTTACTCTACGGCCCCACCTAATTTTGAAGAGAGGAAACACTGATGCAAGATGTACGGAGTCACTTCTGATAGCTATACAATGGAGTGGCAGGTGTAGTTAAAGATTAAAACTCTATTTAGGGTGAATGTATGAGTACGGTGTATCGCAAACGAAATGGCTGGTCTCAGGTGGATATTACGTAACAAGAGCTTTTCAATGGATTTCAGTTTAATGGACGTCTGCTGAACTGTATCAAAGGCATTCTAGCAGGTTCTCGATAAAACTGTAGAATAATGGTCCACTTCGTTAATTATAACTGCTCTAATAATAGACCTTAACCTAAAATTGTAGATTTTTCATGATATCACTACCTAATCTATAAGACCCTACGTGGAAGTCACATAGTTGTCTACATTGACTCGTCCTATCTTAAGAATCACCAATATATAATAGAGAGCACATTTAGCCTGGCGATAGAACTATATATATTTAATATGGATAGAAGAGAGTGACCACGAGAATGACCATGCCTGTAAGGCTAAGCCATGCCATCCGATTGAATCATGAATGAATATCCACGCCTCCTCCATTCTTGACCTTCTCTTCATGTTAATTGTTGAATATCCATTTTCCCAGTTAGCTCATGTTCAGCTCTGGGGATTGTGTGGTTAGAACCTCTACCACTACAGGACGAACAGATTACAACTGATTCTCAGAGAACCAAGTATCTGGTGGGATACTTCAATCCTTCTTCCTAGTGACGAGTTACGAACGATGCCAATATATGTTCATTCCAAGACCAACATGCATGTTGTAATTGGCTGGTCGAAATTTTAGTCGATATCTGTTAACGCGCCCAGTTGTCCTTGTGAGCATACTGATGATGCAACGGATATTCTAGTTTTACAACTAGATACCAGTAGCACCTTCTAAATTCGGTTGTTACCAGTCAGATAGAAAATCAGAAGTTAAACGAGAAGAGGCAGGAAAGATATATTTGATTCGTTACCAATATATCGAGGACCTTTTCTATGAGCTGGCTAATGAAACGTAGGAGCTGTGTCCCACGCAGTATTGAAACGTGATCTGGTGCGGATGCATGACCGAAAGCCTTCAGCTAAACAAGTCCACTTAAACAACGTGGTCAGCATCCAATGTCGAACACTTAATGAGCTATTGATTTTGGGGAATTATTTACAGCTACAGATCACTCCCCCCCTAGTGAGGTAGTGATGCCCCTAAGACGTGACCAGCCAGAAGTTTAAACCCAACGAATTTGTCGTTGGTAAACACTCTTCTGATAGCTTGCTTCGTTTAGCAGCGTCTGGTCGTCTTTCCTTAAACTATGGGACCAAAATGTACAACGTAGCAAATAAAGAAATATAGTACAATGAAAATTTCTGTTCCTTGCGAAACTTCGTCGTTCTTTTCCAGCCGTCCTGGAAAAGAGGAAAAATAAAACGTGTGAGTGCATGTCAAAAATACACTCGTACTTGCGTAAGGACACAAGATGAGCGGAAAAAAATAAACTGATACACTTACAAACAGCGTAAAAGCGATCGGAAAAAAGGTTTTCTTTTGGGTTTTTTTTTTTAATATATAAATATATATATATATACGTTCAAAAAAAATGTTTTTTTTGTTTTTTTTACATAAATAAAAAATGAGCATATTAAAAAAAAATTTATAATAAACTTTAAAGTAATTCCAGATAAAGCTTATGTCCTACGTGCAATATTCGTTAAGATGTTCTGGAAATCTTACTCGTCTTCCAGAACGCGTTGTTTTAGGTTTTTCTATCGATGTTGACGAAGTATCAAGTTGTGTGTCGGTTGTCGTGTAGGGTACTACGAGTGTAGTAGCTGTGTCGTTTGCTTGTACCGAAGGAAAATCGACGTAGCTAGGGTTTCCTTCTAGGTACGCAGCTTTGAGTCGATCGATACTGATGCTATCTTTCGTACCGTTCTTGTCGACTACATAGTACTTAGGTTCGCGTTGAAGAACTTTGAAGGGTCCTTCGTATGCTGATTCGAGGGGTCGTCGATGTGAGTCTCGACGAACGAAGACGTGTGTACTATGTCGTAGTTCGGGTTGAACGAAAACATCAGTTGATTGAGGTCGAGTGTGAGCAGGTTTAACTGAACGCATAGCGTTTGTAAGCCTACTCGTGTAAGAGTTTAGATCCATGTTCAATGAAGAAGCTGAAGGATCCACGAATTCTCCTGGGAGTCGGAGTGTCGTTCCGTAAACGAGTTGAGATGCCGTGTATCCAATGTCAGCTTTCACTGCATTGCGGATACCTAGCAAGACGAGTGGAAGAGCGTCTGTCCACTGTGAAACGTTTGAAGCTGATAATGAAGCTTTTAATTGTCGATGAAAACGTTCTACCAACCCGTTTGCTTGTGGGTGGTAGGCGGTCGTTCGGAAGCGCGTGATTCCTAAAAGTGTGGTCAGACAACGGAAAAGTCCAGATTCGAACTGGCGTCCGCGGTCTGTAGTGATGGTTGAAGGGCAGCCGAAATTTGCTACCCATCGTTCGACGAAAGTGCGAGCCACTGTTTCAGCAGTAATGTCCTTAATCGGTACTGCTTCTGGCCATCGAGTAAAACGGTCTACGCATGTTAGGAGATATGAGTATCCGTTCGAGTCGGGTAAGGGTCCTACCAAATCTAGATGGACGTGGTCGAATCGAGCGTCAGGGGTTTTGAAAGAACCTAAGGGACATTTGTTGTGTCTGATTACCTTAGATTTCTGACAGCTTACACAGGAGCGTGACCACTCCCTCACGTCTTTATTCATGCCAGGCCAACAAAAGCGTTCGGCTATAAGTTCGATTGTTGCACGAGCACCTGGATGAGAAAGATTGTGCAACGTATTGAAGACGTTGTGGCGATAGTGTTTTGGTACAATCGGACGATCCCTACCTGTAGATGTGTCACAGAGTAAGGTTTCCTTACCTGTTCCCATCTGCCTAATACTTAGTTTAAGAGTTGTCGAGGATAACTCATGCTGAAGATCAATGTCTTCTTTTTGAAGCTGAGCGAGTTTAAGAAGGTCGATTCCTTGGGAACTGTTCAAGGAGCTAATTCGAGACAAGGCGTCTGCGACTACATTGTTTGCTCCAGAAATATGTTGTATGTCTGAAGTAAACTGCGAAATGTAGTCGAGTTGTCGAGACTC